GAGTGTGTGAATGTCTTCTAACCCCACGTCTTTCTCCTTTTTACTTAACCACTTATGATGGTTAGTTCTAGGTCATGTTTGGATTAGCATACTCATGATAGCATGTTTGCATTCTGTAGACACCCCATTTTTGACCGTCCTTAAGACTTGGACGTCACCATTGGAACACTTGGTGATTACCCTTGTTTGTGTTCGTCTTGAGTTCCCGGAGGTCTCGGTTGCGCGCCTTGCCTCAGGATCTCTCGACTCGACCGTGTTGTGTCTGGTTTTGCACCAAACACTTGTGTTTTGCCTTGGAGGGGCAGGGAATGCCTTGTGAGGCATCCCCAAACATCACCGGCCATGGCTCGAGGCCACCGGCCAGTGATTTTATGCCATCGGCAATGTATATTGCCGGTCGGCACTCTTTGTTGCCGTTCGGCCATTTATTTTGGCAAAATGGCAATTTTGAATGGCCGATCACTATTCATCTACTTTTAGTAGATATTTTGTGCCAGCTGTGATAGCTAGCACCCACTTTGTTCCCCTCCATACACGTGTATGGAGGGATTTCCCTCTTGGATGGCTTGTTTTGAAAGCCTTACAAGAGGGAGTTGCCTATAAGAAGAGGGCTCCTCTCTTGGCATGAGGGTTACAAAAATTTCAGAGGGGGTCCTGGATTAGGGTTAGGGTTGATACATATTTCCTATCTCTATATCTCTCTCTTGTGTGTGTCTAGTGTGTGTTTGTCCATACTATTGCACACAAACACATAGTGTTACACCTTCTCTTGGTTGTTTAGAGACCAGATGGTTGTTCTTGGTGTTCTTGACTGGATTTGAGCTCAAGGAGGCAACAAGATCATCATTTGTGAAGAAGGACTTCAAGGGTAAGAAACTAGCCCCTTTTTACCCCATTTTTGCACACTACTTTTACCTATCTTGCAACTGTTTTTTGGCTTTGCATATAATACATAAAAGTTTTGTTTTTAAGGCCTCTAAATAGTTTGTTAAGAGTGTTTTAATCTTTGGGGTTGTTTGACCCCTCTTAAGCCTTGTTTGGCCCTTGTTTTGTGCTATTTTGTGTGAGCTCCGGGACTTTGGTGTTTGGGCCTCCTCACCACTGAAATCTTGAGGGATTTCAGTGGTAAGGATGGTGCCTTGAGGTCCCAAGAAGGAGAGGGCCACCCCCTCTCCTTGTTGTCCTTGAAAAGGACCATTTTTTCGTCTTGAGGGAGCACCTAGCTTAGGCTCTTGTTGACCATGCCATAGCTGTTATTTATGCTTATTTTGCCATAAAATAGCATTGTTTTAAGTTGGTTTTGGTACACCATGCTTGCTTAGCATACATGCCGTGTAATGCCATTTTGTTGCCTTAACATGGCTTAGGTTGTAAACCATTGTTCTAGCATGTTTTAGGCTTGGCTTTGTGAAGCTTTCATGTTTATTTTGCCATGATTAAGGTCTATCCTTCGTTGTTTGGGTCGACTTTGGCATGCATTGTATAGCCCCTTTGCATTTTTGGCTTGTTGGCCTTAAGGGTGTGAGTGTATAACATGCATTACTTGCTTTGATTTAGTGGGTTGGGACCATTTTCCATGTCATTTCAGTCCACTTAGTATGCTTGTATGCTTGCATTTCATGGTCCCTTTGATGTGTCAAAGGCTTGTGTTGCATGCTCCATGTTTGGGTCATTGTGCATGCTTTTGAATTCAAGTCATTTAGATGTCATCTAAGTAATCTTTTGGGCTTTGTTTTATGTGCTAAAACTCTGTTTTGGTTCATTGAATTCATGCCATGTTTGGTCTTGTTAAGTGTGGTTCAATACCCCTTTAGCTTGCTTTGAATCTTGGACTTTGCTTGCATACCTTGATTGCATTGTTTGGGTTGGTTTGGCACCATGTTCTTGCATGATTTTCAAAGCTTAATTTACATGCTAATTGTCCATGTTATGTCTCTTTCAAGTGTGCTTGAGAGTTTCCCTTTTGTATTTAAGTATTAGCCCTTTAACATGTGCATGTGTGTGCGTGTGTTGGCCTCCATGTTTGAGCACTTTGGCCACTGATTTAGGCTTGTTTGAGAATTGCCTAATCATGTTTAAGTCCATCTCTTTGCCTGTTTGCATGCTCACCTCGCATGGTTGCTTGCATACTGGCATGTACACATTGCATTACCATGTTGCATCCTTAGCTCGCATGCCTAGGTTGCATTGCATTGTGCATGCATTGCCTCACCTCTTGATGTGAGTCATGATAGAGGTAGAAGCCCCTTGGTTTGATTATGTGCATTGCATTACATTTGAAATGAAAAATGCACAACTTGGTCTCTTGGGCTATCACGCATTGAAATGCGCGCTTGATGGTCCGAGAACCAAGGACCATGTCCCTTTGAGTCATAAACATGATAAGGGATATGGTCAGTGCATACATTGCTTGAAATGCATTGCCATGCTGTGCCTTGCCCTCTGCTGCTGTCAATTGCAAGTTCTGCAGACATTCTTGGCCGACCGGCAATGTTCAGTGCCGACCGACCATAAATCCGTGGCCGATACCTTCATAAACAGCCGATGATCACATCTTACTGCCAGTGGCCATTCTCCTCAGCCGGTGGTGTCTCCCAATGTCTAGGGAAGCAATTCTGAGACTTTGGCAGTTTTCAGAGGGGCAGAGCAGGGAAAACAGAGGCAGCCTACGCATGGCAGTGGACTTCCGAGCAAAACCTGAGCACGCGTGCATTGAGCCCTCTTCCCGAGGCCCTTTTTCTTGCGTTCTTAAATTAATTAATTTTTTTAATTAATTTAGTTGGCCTGTAATAATTAATTAGCTAGGATAGTTAATTCATTATCCGAATTGTATTATTCTTTTGGTCCCTCCGAGCGAGGGCGAATTTGTAATAAGTGTGGGTGAGTGTGTACATGTCTTCCAACCCCCATTTCTTTCTCCCTTTTACTTACCTGCTTTGATGGTTAGTAATAGGTCATGTTTAATTTAGCACACCTTATGCTAGTGGCATGCGTGCATCATTCATCAGTATTGCATGCACTGGGCTCGGCGCATCATGCTAACTGCATTAGTATTTCAAATCTAACTTGAATACATGCTACTTGTGCATTTTCATCACATGTCATTCATAGACTAGCCGAGCCTACTCTAGTGATATTCCGTATGCATTGCATTAGACATTTAATAGGACTTGGATCATGCATTGATTGCTAACGAGTTCTTTATTTTGGTACGGAGTACGATGTAAGTATTTATGCTTTAGCATCCTTGCATGCGTGTGAGTGTTGCCATGATAGCATGATTACCATGAGGCTAGCTGCTTATGTGATATAACTGCTTGAATGCCTGTGGGTGAAGGTTGGATTGTCTGGTTGGAATAGCTCATTGAAATCCGTGTTTTAGCCTACTTGCGAGTAGCAAATTCCAAAAACATTTTTCCAAAAACAAAACGGGATATGGCAATGCTTATTCCCAATTAGGCAATCTAGTCTATACTTTTTGCTGTGCGCATTAACATAGTAATTCTAGGCTAATAATCGGGATAAGAACACATAACGTTTTCAAAAGGATATCACGGTTAGCAGAGGCCGATCTTCGGATCGGGCGAAGGGGGGTGCTCATAGCTGACCTTTCCCAATCGTACCCTAGCTTCCCGAGCCGAGGCAACTTTGGTGATGACGGACACGTGGCCTTTGGCATCGAGTCAGGGTTTTCTAAATTCCCCCTTAAAAAATATTTAGGTGGCGACTCTGTATCTGACAAAGCAGTCCATGTTTGGCACTTCTTTACAAAAATCTGTTTCTCAAAATGATTTATCGGATTTGGACTCTTTGGTTCAGATTAGGAACCGTGACAATTTGAGAGTCCTGAACTGTAGCGAGCCCAATAACGAACAGAACGGGACTCGTCCTCCCGGGGCGTTCGGGGACGTCTACACATTCATTCATCTGTATTGCATGCACCGGGCTCGGCGCATCATACTAACTGCATTGTATTTCAATACCTACTTGGATACATGATTATCAAGTCGTATCTCGCATGCCACCTTAGGATAGCTGAGCCTATTTTTAGTTGCGTTTTGCATGTGTTGCATTAGGCATCTTAACATAGCTAGGATCATGCATTGATTACTAACTACCTATTGTTTTGGCTCGGAGTACTAGGTAAGCTTTTTATGATTTAGCATCTTGCATGAATGTAAGTGTTGCCATGAGGCTAACTGCTTATTTGATATAACTGCCTGAATGCCTATGGGTGAAGGCTGGATTGCTTGAATTTGAACAATTCATCAAAATGCGAGTTTTAAGCCCACTTGAGGGTGGCAAAATCATGTTTTCTAAAGCCCACTCGAGAGTGGCAAATCCACGTCTTAGCCTACTTGCGAGTATCACCTTCAAACCATTTTCAAACAAATAAACATGAGATGTTTTGTTCCAACTTAGGCGATCTAGTCTATACTTGTGTGTCGTGCTCATCACGTAGTAAGCTAGCTAACAATCGGAATAAGAACACATGTGTTTTCAAAAACAAAATACCATGCTTAGTACAAGCCGATCTTTTGATCGGCCGAGCAGGGGTGCTCATTGCATGACCTTCCCCTCTCACACCCAAGTTCCCGAGCTGAGGCAACTTTGGTGATGACGGACATGTGGCCTTAGGCACGAGTCAGGGTTTCCTAAATTTTCCAAAAATAAAACATTTAGGTGGCAACTCAGTATCTGGTAAAGCAGTCCATGGTTGACACTTCTTTATAAAAATTAGTTTTCCAAAATGATTTGCCGGATTTAGACTCTTTGGTGATTTATCAGTCTTGCATTGCACTTTGCGAGATTAGATTCAGAACCGTGACATTTAGTTTGAACTGTAGTAGCTAAAGAACAAACCGGATTTCACGCCTTCGCGCACAGATCCAGAGAGTTCTCGGGCACGTCAACACCGTGCTTGGTTCTTGAGCGAGTGCTTCACACGCCAGAATTTAGGACTGTCTGCCCCATTCGTACCGACGACACCTCTAGTATCGATGAGAGAGACACACAGGCTTTCTACTGAGGAGGTGATCCAGTTTATGGTAGGGCTGGAGACGGATTACTTCCGTGTAGAGGGCGACTACGCGACTTTCATTCAGACTCATCTGATGCCGCCTCTGGCTGGTGTTCGCGAAGGTGAGGGAGCGAGAGCTCCTACTACGAGAAAGAGAGGCAGAGGGACCAAAGCGACCAGGTCTCGTAGGAGGAGAGGTTCTGATGAGAGGCAGAGACAGGGGCCGGGATGGCCAGAGCTGCCTACCTCAGTGACTTATCAGAGACGTTCTGGGGAGACTTGCCAGATCCCCAATGAGCCTGCACCAGCTGGTCATGCACTTGTCGGAGTTCGAGGCCCGACTCCGGTATACACCAAACTTTACATTTTGCATATTTACTTCATTTCAATTATGCTATATAGAATACTAATCCGTTCAATGCACTTGCAGGCACCCATAGAGTACACAGGGCAGGCCCTTGAGCTAGTGGCTTCCTTGACGGAGATGGTACAGATGAGCCTAGATCTGCCCAGCCTCTACAGGATTCTGGTAATTTCTTTCAACTTGCACTTCATGCCATGAAACTCTCTGCTGACGTGTTAGCATTTCAACTGTTCCACACTGCACTGATATGATACATTCCACTAAAACACTGCATAGATACATTGTTCCCATACACAGTCCACGACATACATATACTGCAATCAGTTATTGCTCATGACAAATTATCTTTTACATCTAATATACACCACAACTAACACATCTTCATAAACTGCCCTTTTCAGATTCCCTTCGAGATGCCAGCCCCATCGGACGTCCCAGCAGGAGCAGCGGCAAGACCTTCAGTTCCTCTCCCAACAGCAGAGAGGAGAGGGAGACAGGCTCAGGCACACAGCCGAGGTAGAGCCAAGGGCATCCGCAGCGAGAATGGCCTTTCAGAGCCCATTTCTGGGCGATGATGATGACGAGACGAGCGAGGAGGCTGAGGCAGCGAGTCCACAGTTCGAGTCATCTGATGGGGGAGACGACGACGCCGGCTCGAATTCTTCCAGTAGCGAGGCTGGAGAGGCTGAGGAGGGTTCCAGTTCAGGCTCTGATCCAGCTTTAGACAGCGGTGACGATGGTGACAGTGCTCCAGAGTTTGCTCCACCGAGGAAGAGGACAAAGAGGGCCTCTTGAGCTTGAGCTAGTCGGCAGCGATTCAGTTGCTTTTTGCTTTCTTTTCTTTTTGCTAGTAGTATTAGTAATTGTACAGCCTTTGGCAGTTTTATTTTCTTTGAAACTTATACTCTTTTACAGATGAAATGAAAACTCGGCTTTGGTTTAAAAAAGTGTTGCATTTTGTATTCTAAGCATCGCATAATGTCATACAGCATGAAAATGAGATTGATCTTTCGAAAAATGCACAGTCAAATTGCATTGTCTTAATCAAGTAGTAAACCGACTAACCACTTAAAAGAACAAAACAACTTAATAAACAACACAAGGCCTTGACAGGCCAAATAACTCAATAAGCAAATTGAAACAATTCGATAAACAAAACAAAGATGATTACAACTCGATAATCAAACAACGACGATTACAACTCGATAAACAAAACGAAGACTATTACGTCTTAAACAAAACACAATCAAGTCTGAAAGGACCAAAATAAGACCTTATAAGGTACAAATAACAAGACTCCACTGTAACAAACAATAGAATCTACACAAAGGAGGTCAGTGAGCTTGAGAGAGAGGCCGCCGGCCATGGAAGATGGCCTACCGGCCATCACTTTCCCCTGCCGACCATCAATGTGCCCCTGTCGGCCATTGATGAGCCATTGCTGGCTATTGATGGTAGAACCTCCGAAATGTTAAAAACTGGCCTCTACTCACTGCCTTATCTTCTACAAAGGTTCCAGCTTCATAGTTTCTTCATTTCAACTCCATTTTTGCCCCAAATGGAACCATTCTTCGCCGAAAAACTCTCCAATTGGATTGTGACTTTGGATGGCTCAGAAAAGTTGAATTTTTGGGGTTTTGGGCTAAATGCACTACTCCCATTGAGCCGTACTCTGATGTGTTTTCCGTTCCTCTATACCGCAACTAGGTGTCGGAACCCGGTTACACATGTTTTCAGCTTTGGCGGACAAGAGATATGCCCCACAATCGAAGAATTCCAAGCTTTGATGGAGTGCTGGCATGACGAGGAAATCTTGCCCCAGTCTTGTTTTAGCCACATCTAAGCTCTCGGAAGGATATGCGGGCTCACTTTCCATAATGCTCGATCCTTGGTTCACAACGGGGAATTGGACATCCCCAGCTTGATTCATCGATTTTTCGATGCTGGCAACCGCGGTGACCACTTTTGGCAAAGTTTTCGGCAACATGCCCTCTGCTTGTGTATGTTGGCCCATTTTCTGCTTTCCCCTGGCTTTGGAGGGTCTAGCGTGTGCTTGATCGAAGTTGCCCAAGGCTTGAAAGAGGGCAAAAGCAACATCAAGTTGACACTAGCTGAAACTTTGATGGGCTTGGATGCTTTCCATCGTCAGGAGACAACCAAGTTTGCAGGAATTCCATTACTGCTGCAGGTAATGTTTCCCACCCTTCTCACATGTGTTTCTCACATCACGCGGCCCTCAGGCTTTGTTTTTCTCTCAAAACCCTTTCCTTACTTTTCACTCCACGCACACCTCTCCATTCTTTAATCTCTCTTATTTTTCATCCCTACCCAGGTATGGCTGATGAAGAAATTAAAAGTAGTAGATGCTTGTCCTGCGTATTCAGCGCGCGGCTATTTCATTCGCCCTCAGCTAGTTAACTTTCCAAACAAGGGATGGTGGTGCCACTGGATGTGCAACAAATCTGCAGTTGACATTGCTTGGTGCTGCCCCTGGTTTGATCTGCCTGAGATGAGCTATAGCATGTCCCGGCAACCTGGCATCCAGTTAGTTGGCTGGACACACTGTGTCTTCTACTTCCCATTTCAATTCAGGCGCCAGTTCGACCATGACCAGACTTGTCCGGAAGAGTGGATAGAGTACCCTACTTCATTTCCAATCCAGGGCCCACAGCTAGCTCGGTATTCCACAGCAAGGAGGACAAGAGAACTTCTGGTCCCCGCTTACACTTTCAGCTGTGCCCTTTCTAGCGAATGCATAGCTTGGCTTGAAGATGAGGCGCAAACTGGGCCTACTTTGGCATCCGAAGCTTCTACAAGCTCTGGAAGGGGGCGCAGGAACACCTTTCTTAACCATGCCCCTAGTTCATTGCTTTAATCTGTACTTTCAAGTTTTCTTTATGAATGTAATAAAAAAGAAACTTCAATTTGTATCAAGAGCCGGAGAACTCTGTATTGAAATCAATAGAATTGAAGGTTGTGGGTACTGAAAATTTTCCGTTTGGCCCAAAAATGGTCTAAGTTGTAAAAAGATTAATTTGAGCAAAATCAACTTTTATTAAAACTTTTCAAAAACATTTTCGATATGGATCACAACTGGACACGCCCGAGATCTATCACTAAGATGTGCAACCCCGGATCAAACAATTGGAAAGTTGCCCCTTATCTGAGTAACACTGCACTGTAGCTCACAACTGAACTCTTGGATGCAAAAATGACAAAGATGACCAAAACAATCACATGGACACAGTTGATTTGGAACTGTTTTTGGCTGGACTTCAGGATGAATTTGCCTACGTATCCCAAACATGGGAATCAAGCCTTACATAGTTCGGTTCAAGTTCACTCAGGTTTTAACACACTCCTTTTGCGCTCTAACTTTTGTCAAGGCCGCCCTTTCTGGGTTTTCAACCTTGCAAGCTTAGTTTTTCTTATTTCAAATTTTTTGTGCTCTAACTTTTGCCTAGGTCGCCCTTTCGGGTTTTCGGCCTCGCGAACCACTCAGGGATAGTCCATGTTGATCGGTTGGGAGAACTCGAGGCCATCTAAATCCATTAGAGTGATAGCTCCACCCGACCAGATAGACTTGATGATGTAAGGACTAGTCCAATTGGGTCTGAACTTGCCCCTAGGGTCGTGGATGGGAGTTCTATTGTCTTTGAGCACTAAATCCCTTTCTTTCAGATTCCTGGACTTGACCTTCTTGTTGAAAGCCTTGGCAATTCTGTGTTGATAACCTTGAATGCAGTACAGTGCTTTCAGCCTTGTCTCGTCGAATAGCATAAGTTCCTCAAATCTACTCTACTACTAATCAGCCTCAACTATTTGGCATTCAGCCATTACCCGCAATGACGAAACCTCAACTTCGATTGGCAGAACGGCGTCCATCCCATAAGCCAAGGAATACGGAGTTGCCCCAGTAGAAGTTCAAATTGATGTCTGGTAGCCCCAAAGAGCAAATGGCAGTTTATTTAGCAGGTCCCTGTAGGTTTCCACTATCTTCTGTAGAATGTGCTTGATGTTCTTGTTGGTGGCCTCAACAGGTCCGTTGGTTTGTGGCCTATATGTGGATGACTTATGAAAAGTCACATTGTACTTCTCCAACAAGTCGATCACTTCCTTCTTGAAGTGGGAGCTATTATCCAAGATAATCTCATTCGGGACCCCGTAGCGACAGATGATATTATTCCTGATGAACTTCGCTACATGCGACGCTTTCAGCACTGCATAGGATTGGGCCTCAACCCACTTCGTAAAGTAGTCTATCGCCACCAAGATGTACTCATGCCCGTTCGACCCCTTCAGTGTAACTGCCCCAATAACGTCAATCCCCTAAACTGAAAAAAGCCATGGCAAAGTCATGTTGTACAGCTTTGATGGCGAAATGTTCATGTGATTTGCATGGATGTGGCATTTGTGGCATCGCTGGACAAAACTAATACAATCCTCCTCCATGGTTGACCAGTAGTAACCCTGTCTGAGAATCATTCGAACTAGCATCACTTTGCTCATGTGTGATCCACACTCTCCTCCATGGATGGTCTCCATCAGGTGCTTCGACTCTTCAGCATCAACACACAGTTTATGCATCCCAAGATGGCCCCGTTTATACAATTTACCCCACAGATAATAAACTGAGCTGCCATTCTTCGAATTGCGCCCTTGTCTTTAGCATTTGCCCCTGGTGGATAAGCCTCCTTTTCCAAGAAGTTCCAGATGTCATGATACCAGGGGTTCTAATCTTGTACTTCATCTATGGCGGCAATCAGCTCATAGGCCGGCACATACCTCTGTTCAATGATGATTGGAAGCATCCGGACTCCCAAAGGGATGTCTATCATAGAAGATATAGTTGATAAAGCGTCTGCGAACTTGTTGCACTCTCTCAACAGTTGGGTGAAGGTTAACTTCTCAAACCTGGGAATTAGGACATTCAGGGTTTGGTGGTAGGTTTTCATCTTTTCTTCCTTAACCTTCCAGTCTCCTTTCGCTTAAGATACAACAAGGTTCGAGTCTCCAATGACGTCCAACCATTTTGCCCCTAGTTCCAGGGCGGCTTCCAAGCCAGCGATACATGCCTCACACTCTGCTTCGTTGTTTGATACCTTGAACCGGAGTTTGAAAGCTAAGGGTATGTGGGAATTGTCAGGTGCTATCGGCAATACCCCTATCCCATATCCGTACTGGTTTGACGCTCCGTCAAAGTACATAGTCCAAACCTCTTCTTCGAGCTGTTGAATGGCCTCATCCGGGAACAGATACTCTACTGCTTCATCTCCCTCCAGTAGGTGATCGGCTAGGAACTCCGCTACTGCTCTCTCTTTCACAGACTTGCGAGTCATGTACTTCAAATCAAATTCGAAGAGAAGAAGCAACGAACGGGCTAGCCTATCCATAAGTGCTGGTTTCTCGAAGAGATATTTGATGGGATCTAATCTCGAAATCAGAATTACGGAGTGAGCTTCCTGGTAGCGCCTTAACTTCCTGGTAGCCCATACCAAGGCCAAACAAGCCTTCTTCGGCGGAGTGTAGCGGGTCTCGCATTCCACAATTTTCTTGCTCAGGTAGTAGATAGCCTTCTCCACTTTATCCTCAGATTCCTGCGCAAGCATTCAGCTCATTGTCGCGTCAGTTTCTGACAGATACAATATCAACGGTTTCCTCGGATCTAGTGGTGACAACACAGGTGGGTTCTGTAGATATTGCTTGATCTGCTCAAAATTAACTTGGCATCGGTCATCCCACTGGAATTTCTTTCTTTTCTTTAGGAGACCAAATAGTGGTTCACAAGTCAAGGT